ATTAATGTCATTCGAACCGATTATTATCCTCACCTTCCAATCTAAAAAATTTTTGTCATCGTGTGCATAATACGGATAATATAATAACACTTTCGACGCGTAATAAATTGATAAATATATATTACGAAAATAAATGAAACGTTGATTTTGATGATCAAATATATAGGCGATTATATGTCTTTATTAAAGATAATCGCGACGATCCCGAGTGTGGAAAAAATAACGCCATGACGCTTGACGATTAATCATAAATTGTGAAACGCGACTAATAAGTTTAATTACCATTGGCGTGCTCGCTCGCTCCCGCATGTTGACAAGCGGGAATTACACCTCGGTTGGCACAATATGGATTTACGACTCGTCGGGAAAAAGAAGGAGGCGAAGAATCGAGGTGGGAATCACGACCAAGATCTGCCATTCGAGAAGACACCGTTCCATTTCTAACAAACAATGTCACGATATTACGAAGATGCATCTTGGCAACAAAACAATCGAAGGAATAAGCTTCGTCTCTAGTCCTATTCAACTGGAGAAAAGAAATACAATGATTCGTTTATTTTGTGAAAGAACACTATACAAGCATCTATTATTCATAAAATTATCACTCACAGTGGAGTATCGTAATTGGAATAGGAATAATTTTTAATTTTTGTTAAGATAGAATTTTAAATTTTTTCTTACAATTCTTAATTTTTTGCTTTTATCATTTTGATGGATAAGAAATAATTTGTTGCTATTTTTGTTGCTAGAAAAACAGAGGGAGGAGGAAAACGAGAAATTTCAATGAACACGTTGCTTGAAATTCACTCGACTAACTCGCTCTCTGTGAAATATCTATCGGAAGAATCGCACAGGAAGCGAAAAGAGCAACTCCTTTCTCGGTAAAAAAGACACGCGAATTCGCATATAAAGGCGATGCATCACACGCGAGTCGGGCAAGGTAAAAAAAAGAACACGATTTTCTACAATTTCTCGTGAGGAGCAAACAAAGCGCGGAAAAGGAGATCGAATTAAAACCGCGACACCTCGATGATGTCTCGACGACACATTTTCCAGGTCCGTATCCGATTAAGTAACGGCTCGATTAACCAATTATCTTTTCGCGGGCGTGCACGCAGCCTTGCGATTACTCAATAATATATATCTCGCCTCGTCGATGCCTTTCTCTTTATTATGAAAAATCCGCGCACAATTCGCCGGTGCTCTTGCACCGCAGGGGGAAGGTCAGGTTTGCGCCGAGAAATGCGCACGAACAAGGAGGCACGCGCCAAGTTTCGTTTCGAAAAAATGAATTTCAAAAAAAAAGTGCCGATGCAACTGAAACAATGATCGATTACGGCGGAATTTGCTACGAGCAATGTTTCAACATTCAATGTGTATTCAGTTATATTGGCAGCAAAAAGAAAGCAATGTATCTGTCGAATCTTTGATTAATTTTTATTTACTTTGATAGATTGGGAAAAAATTTTTCTGAATCGGTAAAGATTTAATCTGAAAAAAATTTTTTTTTTTTTGAAAAAACATTTGACTCCAGTGGAAATTTTGAACATGTACAATGGTCTTAGAAAATATTCGTACAATATTTTATAAGGAAATTTTAAAAATCCTGATTTAAAATTTACATGGAACAAGTTTTCGAGAAATCTTTTTTAGAGAACGAAATATAAATTTTTTTATACAATTTTGAATATAATTTTATCTGGAAAGTTTTTTTTATATAACAACAAAACGATAACTAAAAATTAAATAAATCTTTTGCTCTACCTCATCATAAAATTATATTCAAAAAAAACTAAAAAAATGCTGAAATTTTCAGTATTAATTTCACGCTTTCAAAGAGATTTCGATAAAAAAAGTAATTTCATGTATATTCATTTCTTTATATTCTACATACATAAAGATTTGTATTAAATCCATGACTTTTGGATTAAATAAATTTCCTGAAGTGACTATATATATTTGTAACACTTGACACAGCATCTGACGTTTATACGAAATCCAATCTTTAAATCGGCCGAGACGCTAACAAGACACGTAACAACATTCTTACCTTGAAAAAGATGAAGGCTACGAGTTGTTCGTCCCTTTGACGGATCTCTGGCGATCGTTACACGCTAGATCTCGGCCTCGTTAGATCGTGGAAAGCTGAAAAGGAAGCGGCCAGGGCGGAAGCGGAGTCTCAGTCCTTGCCAGAAATAGAGCGAACCGAGCTCCTGTCTGGCTCCTGAGCGGAATATTTAATCGCGACGAGACCCGAACAACGATCTAATTCCCGCGCCACGCAGGCGATGTCCTCGCCGCAGAAGACGCATGACTAAGACTCCGGCTCGTAGCAGCGAAACGAGACGAAACGTTTTCCAAGAAACTATTAAATCGATTCGAGGATTTGCAACGATCGGGATGAATCCTAGCTTGGCTGAGCGGCTCAAGGGCACGTGAAACTGACTGACAAAATCCACGAAAAGTTACTTGTTAACTCGTTGAAACGGTTTAGAGAAATATTCGGGAGTTTAATTTTTTTAAGAAATTATTAATTTTAATGTCAAAAAATCACTCGTTCCTTCGATATAAATGAAACGTTTCAAGTATTTGATGTCTCCCCTTGCTATCATCAATTAAAAGAGTATGTTTCAATTTGTATCAATTTGAATAAATTCTCGTACAAACTTCATTATATAGATAATCACGATCACAAATCAATTGTATCAGATTTTTCCAATTCTATGAGTTTAAAATACGAAAGAGATAATAATAATAGATTCACGATAGAAGAATAGAAGAATAGATCAGCAATATTTAATCTTAATCTGTTCGATGCGAGCTAAAATAAGGAAGAAATGAATTCGTAGGATAAATATATTACATTTTCGACTATTTTTAATTTTGTATTAATCAAGAACGTCAGATAGATATTTCGGAACGAAATTAATTAAAATTATCATTTATTATTATTATTTCGCAATAACCGTGACTCCGCTATTTTTGTCGTAACTGTTTAATAAAGCCTTTTATATTTACGTAAAATTTTTCTCCTCATTCGTATTCATAGAATACTTTATTATTCGACAATATTTGGGAGACATCCGAACAAGAAAACGTTATTGTATTTAATCCTCGTCACTTTAAGTAACCTCGCGAATTACTCGTCCCCTCAAATCATCAGGACGATTTAGAGAATCGTCGATTTTTCTGACAGATGCATCATGCTCGATTATCGCATTCCATCGAGATGATTCTTCTCGAAACTTGTGATCGAACGTTTCGACGACGCACAATCGCTATTAACACGTAAATCGAGGCCCTTCTCGTCGAGCGACGGCACGCGATCGGCATAGCCGCTTCTCGTGACCCGGATTCGAAGTCGTGATTCCTGTTCTAATGGGACGTTATCGCGATACGATTGCCTGCCGGGATTACCTGGCTGGGAATCTGCCTCCCACGCCAACACCGTGTACCTGTATCGGCCGATTATGAAACGAGGATTATGCACACGACGACGACTAATAAAGCGCGGTCTTCTTTTTGCTGGCACGGGTGCGTTCCAGTCCAATTAGGATTCCTCGGGGATACGGAGAGCGATTTAAGAAAAATCGCTACCGGTATTTTCATGGGAGAGCCTGGCGGAGATCTAGAGTAAGTGATACTGAGCTTGATATATGGATCTGGTTGTGTACGAGTTTGATTTTTTGAATCGAAATGTTAGAGTTACCGAGTTGAATCATTGTGCTTCGCGGTGAACTACTTCTCCAATATTTTTTCGTGGCAGAGTAATAGTCGGAATAGACGATACATGGTACGTGATATTAATTATAAATTTAAAAAAGATGTTAAGTTAGCGATAACAGTTTAAAATTATTTCTTTTTTTTTTCAAAATTTTCTATTTGGAAAAAGGGAAATTAATTTATAGAGAATATTTGAGAAATATTAATTAATTCGTAACTGAAATATTTCTTTAATTGAAGAAGCTTAACCCCACTGATATTATTAAAAAATATTACGTAAAACCATGAGAAAAATCGGTGGGCAACGATGCAAACGAAAGCAGATTTGCGATATTGATCGAGGAAAGGGATCTCGAAGAATGCATTTCGTCGAATCTTTTGCAGGGGTAGGCGCTCTTCGTTTCTCGAAGAAGCCTGAACCGCCACCCCTCGAACCTGTTCAAAGGAACAGAGAAGGAAAGAAATACCTTGCTACCACAGGCGCATACCTGCACGAAAACGTTGGAAACAGGTTTGCGAGGGGCAGAGAAGGATTCGCCCCACGGTATCGTTCCTGTGCCCACGTAAAAAGATCGGATTAATCATCCTCATAGGAATCTAACGTTCGGTTGCAAGGTCGAGTGCAAGACTGGAAAAAAAAAAATAGGAAAAACGCACGGTCGAATAAAAATTCGAGATAATTTTGCACGATAAAGAGAGAGAAGAAACAACCACGGGAATCGAGAATTTTAACGCAGAAAGCGTATCCAACAAGCGTGTATATAACACCAACACGCGTTATCTACAATTCCCAAGTCAGGAATCACCTGGTTAAAGATCAACCTTCTCCGATCGAGACACACGAAAAGAGTTTATTAAAACGTGGCTCGTGAAACAAGCCAAAGGTGATAAAGCAGACAGACTCGAGAATTGCCGAGGAAAAAAATGATCGAGATAAGTGAGGATCGATCGTTGGACGCGCTTTTATCCCGAGAAAGGACTGGCACAGTCCGGATAGGGCGAGCAGAATTCTCATCGAGTCCCTTCCCTTATTCCCTGCTTCGTCCTTGCGCCTAGACCCGCCGTCTCCTCCTCGCGCACGAGTGTCTCTGCCTCTGTGTAAACGCGTCTATATACGTATACACACACATCCGGGGAGGAAGAGAAAAAAAGATCGATCCTCTCGGCCGTGGTTGTGTGTGCCGCGCGGAGAGCTGGCCGCCGCGTGCAGGATCGACGTGCCGTGAGCGCGCTCGCTCGTCTCACCAGGGTGGGAGATACGAAGGTATAAAACCGATCTGGCCGACTGGTGGCAGCCAGTCCAAAGGCCAGATGTGGCGGCGGCTCTAGTCGCACGCGTGCGAGAGAGACGATCACGACACGGCGTGCGGTACTCCCGCGAGGAAACGCGAGGAAACCAGTAGGGAAACCGCGGATCGAATATACACATACACACACAACACATATATATATAGTCTCTTCATGGTTCAACACGGCGATCGCCTAGCCTATCGTCTGTGAATTCGTGCGCACGATTGTTCGACTGTCAGAAGAGACGAGAAGAGGAGGAGGAGGAGGAGGAGGAGGAGGAAGGTTTAGGTACTCCGTTAGGGAGAGTCAGTCGTTGCTTCTGCTCTTCTGTTTCGAAAAGGAGAGAGAAAGAGAAAGGACAACGAACTCAAGTCTCGACGAGGACGTCGAGGACTCGCTCCCTGGGACCTGGCCTGGCTAGGCTGTTCTGCTCCTTCTGGGGATTGATCGTTGAGGCACGTAGCACGGTACCGAGAGGGAGATTTTTTGGGGGTGATCGCGGTTTCTTGGTGGAATATAAATAAATATATACGTGAGGGATCACCAGATTATTCGGTGGTAGAAGGGGGAACGAGAGGAGAGTGCAACTCCTAGGTGCGGATTTTTCTTGGAGACCTAGGAGATCGGTCTTCCTCGGTTCTCGAGAGGTGTTTGTACAGGGTTTGTCTTCTTGGAAGAAGTGATTTGACGAAAAAAAAAAAAAAAAAAAACAAAGGAGAAGACAAAGGAGAAAGATATACACCCCGGAACATGTCTGGGATTCAAATCAACGTGGAAGAGGCCTCCAACGATGGACGCGAGGACGATCTCGTTCCTGATGTAAGTGAATTATACGTTTCCAATTATTGCCGCGTGTTGTCGAAGACTCTTCCTCTTCCCCGAGTGTTTCAGATGTAAATGATAGGCCGGTTATAAAGGCAACCGTATCGCGGAACTCTGTCGATCCTTCTCTCAATAACAACTATCCTAGCTGCTTTCTATTCCTTCCTTCCGCAATTCAGAAGTCTCGATTCTCGACAACACTTAATCGCGATTATAAAAATAATTTCATCGGACTTTCACGGTCCGAGAAAGATGAGCTCGGTTAAAAAACCCATTTCGGCGGGAAACTTTTTGCAAAAGAAAACAGCAACAATAATAATAATAATAATAATAATGAAACAAAGTATCAAATCGAAGAAAATATAAAAAACTCGAGTCGTCAATTTTCGACGAATAGGCAAAAAAATAAGCCTGTGAGCAATCGTAAATTTCATGATCGCTCCCCGATTTCTAGTGATTAGCGACTTTGGATCGGTTACATAAAATATATAGGTGTAAAATTGAAGGAAGTCCGCGAACGAAATTTCACAACGTTATCCAACTAGGAAATAGATTCTTCTGATTTAATGCATCACGAATAATTAGAATAGGAAGCAACAAGTGTCTACGCCATTCCGTCTAATTAACATACGAGCAGCCCGTGGTTCAACGGACGATTATCGAGGAGAACGTTAGAACTCGTAATACAATTATCCTCGGATCGATTATCCAAGTATCCTGGTAAAAGGCGTCGAACGGTTTAGGTTCACGGGCAACCTGCGTGCGTGTATATAAGCGGCGTAACACCGTTCACCGCGAATACTTAATAAGTCTGACACCCATCCAGGCCCCGCTCGTTTATGTAACGCAAAACCCGACGAGGGACAACCGTGGCTGAGTAGCAAAAGACGTTTTTAGTTGAGAAACGAAGGACAATATCGTTCCCAGATATATTTCGTAGGAAATAATCGTGCACGAAAGGCGAATACGATGGCGACGAATCGCGTATACGAATTGCAGTATCGTGCGTATTGTGCAATCGAGTCGCCACGACGCGTTGCTCGTGAGAAATTCGTTTGAGAAAACTTTCCACGAAAAATCGAACGAGAACGAGAGAGAACGACAGGAGACAGGGTTTTCGTATCCTCTTCGAAGGATTTTTAATTGTTTGAAATCGAATTGGAACTGGGGGAGGATCGTCTATTTTGTCAATCGAATTTCAATTATATACATAGGAGATTCGTAGCAAATAATAAGTTTGAACAATAATAAATGGAATTATATTATAATATTCCTTTCAAGTTTACCTGCTTATGATTTATTTCGATGTAAAAGTTGAAATCAACATAATTCTATTAAAGTCGGGGAATATAAAGTTTTTTTTTTTTAAATACCAACTCATAAATATAAATTTTTCAAAATGTCTTGTACGTGATTTACACTTATGATTTTTAAATCGCTATAAATCATTTAACTCTTCATTTCATCGGGATAACCGAAGATATATTTAATATGTTTCATATTAAACAAAAATACGCTAATATGAACAATTCCTCTACGACATTTTCTCTCTACGATATCCATATGATCTACTGACTGAATGAATTAAATTTCCAAATGCAGAATATTCGTTGCCTGGAGCACTAGATTCAAACTTTTAAACAAGTTTAAGGTACAAAGAATGAATGCACAGCTGGTTGTTAAAAGAGAAAGAAATGATCGGAACGAGACATGTACGTAGGCGTCATGGGATAAAAGTAAACTATGTAACTCGAGTTGAAAAAAATGGATTTCCATAATTCCGTAGAAGTTGGTAACTAGCCACCTGTAGGCCGTCTCTCACATTCGCGTTTCATAATTTCTTCACCTTCTTAACGTTTACGAGCCAGATTACGATTGCTTCTGAATGCGAATTTCTAGCAAACCTCTCGATGATAATTCCTGAATGAAGCCAAGTTTATGGCTATTACGATAGATCAAAATGAAAATTTTACGTTAAATTATATACGCTAAGTGTTTTTTTTTTTTTTTAATGAACTTTAATAAGAAACATATAAAATTTACACAAATGCAAATGTGGTATAATGTAACGATGGATTGCACAGGATATTGCAAAGTAGGTTACTAAGTTCAAGATTAAGTTCAAGACAACTTTCTCAGGTAACAGGTTAAATATTGATCAAAGCTTGGAATTCAACAGTGACGAACAGGATATTTTGCAATGCGTGTTACCACCCTTATGAAACACCGCTCGTCTTCCACGCAATTTTTTTTAAAAATTCACGATTACTAGGAAAAAACTTGGCAGAGAGGAAGCTGTTCTTTGCCAACCGTGTTCATCTTGTGTAATAAATATTTTAATAAAAAAAAAAATTCTGATAGAAAATGGCTCGTAAAAGGTGAAAAATATGAAATATACATTTCAGAGAAACGCTTAACTTCGATCTTCAAACCTCGGGTATGATTGATTGAGATTTCAATTTTATTTTACAAATATACTTTGTAACTAGGTTACAAAGAAGAGGAGTCGAGTCTATGTCAATCTTGTCCTCGTTATCGATCATTTGCATGTCATCGCGATATCTCTCGCGATCGTACGAGATTTGGAACGCGCACGAGGTCGTTCCATCAGAATTTTGGAAATGAAAAACGTGTGAAACCAACTTTGGAAATGAAATCGAGAAATACCACGCGTCTAATAAGCAAGATTAGTCATGCACGACGCGATTCGAGGTCGTGAAACGCGAGCAATAAAATAAAAATGTAAGCATGAGTGGTACGACTCTATCTTAACGATAATTTAAAATTCGTTGGAAACAGTTTTCTCGATAATTTAATATTTCTGATGAAATGTAAATCAGTCACTATAGTTAGAAGCGGCTCTCTTTTTTTTTTTATTTTACAAGAGAACCTTCGTTTGCCGAATTATCATCGATATCGATAACCTTCGCATACCGAATAGTGGTTTTAAAGTAGTTAGAGCGATATTTTTTCTTTTTTTTTTTTTTTCGACATTGAATATATTAATCCAACCATTCTTTATCATAGAAACGCGATTAATAAATTTTCGAATTTGTTAGAATTTTTAGTGGAGGAGAAGATATCGAAATGGATTAGTGGAAATATATATATCCCTGGGAGATTAGGGTACTAATTAATCAGTGTGCGAAAACAATTTTCAGTCCGTTGACCTTAAGAGGAACTCGAGTTCGTGCGGATTCGAGAATTTCACTTTCCACCTTGATAGCACGTTTGTCTTCGTGGTGAACATCCATCGGCAACACAGTTGTTTATCCGCAACTTTGAAAAGCGTCTCGTTCCTTCGCAAAACTTATTTCATTCACATTCCATGATCGTTTCAACTTGTAGAATTAATATATTTATACACTCCCCATTAAATGGAATTTGATTTAATAGAAATTACATTTTGACTCAAAAATGTCGCTCAAATATTTTATTTTTCATTTTCAAAACATGGCGAATAATCATAAAATATTTTTTGAGCGATTCTTGATCGTACGAAATATAAGACGAATCATGAACTAGTTTGAAAAAGAAAAAAAAAGAAAACACTAAATGTGAAGGGCTAGAAGAGTTAAGGATCGTCGAGAAATAGGATTTTCGAATTAGCCGGATCAAGGTCCAACGCAAGGACGTAGATTCGACAGAGAGGAAAAGTGTTTTTGTCTAAGGTCGGAGCAGAGAAATCGATTTTGCAATATGGAGTGCTTTCTCTTGTTGCATGTAAATGTCGCCGCGGGGAAGGAATTCATGAGATCGCGACATTGATTCGAACATTTACACGCACGTGTCATTTTGCCAGGATGTATAAATTTTTTCCACCTATCATTTTCCATAAAAATCTAATTAGACAAATTAAACTGTGAAAATGCCGTCGAAAATTAGAAGCAAATCTAAAAGGAAAAAAAAAAAAAAAAAAGAATTAAACGTATTCTCGTTCAAATAAGAGATTGAATATAACGATCTCGATCTGTTGTTTGAAAACGATCATTGAATAACGATTTCAAAAGAATGCTGAAACACTAGCGACAACTAGTCGGCAAATTATATAATTCTTCTTCTCGGTTCATTAAGGAAACAGATTTCGTTAGGTTACGTGATAGAAGCGACGCGTGCCGACTTTCATTCTCTCTTACGAGGCGTCAAGTGTTCTAGCGGAATCTTTATATTCCCCTGTGTCCAAACACATTCAACATAATACCACATTATCTATAAATCTCGATTTAAAAAAAGAACAATTATCATACAAGATATTTCACCAAGTATTATTGTCGTTTGTACAATTATCAATATGTGTTGATGACACAATATCTTATTTCTATACTCGTCTAGCATCTCGATGACAGAAAATCTCGATGAATCTTCGATAGATAAAAATAGAGGAAAGAAACAGAAGAGACAGATTATATAGGTGAGATAATGAGATACGCAAACGTTGTTTATTAGATTCCAAAGAACACTTCGATGTCGCAATTTGGATGATTCTTTATTTACACGGTAAATGCAAATTGGCCATCTTTCAAACGACGACCCAGAGAAGATCCCTGATCGAACGTTTAATAATAGGTTCTTCCGGATCGTGATTCGATTTCGTGTCGATTGTGGAAAGCATCACGACGTTATTATCGTGTAGTGAATCGCATTCGAGAGACGGGTTGAAAATAATTTGCGAACAGAATTATGAAATCATTGGATTCCCAACAGGTTTATTTATAGCCTCGTACGTCACGTTGATTTATAGATCGCAAACGAACACTTTTTCTTTTTCTCGGTTAAGGGAAAATTTCAGGGAGGGAAGAAGTGGAGGCTTGGAAGATTAATTCGAAATCATACGCTTGAACGTGTGTATAGGACAAAAGGTTCGTAAATCGTTATCGATCGCGACAGAGATGGATATCGATCTTTCGCGCGAGGAAGTAGAAAGCAGTCGAAAGTTTGGAACTAAAAAGCGTAGAATTGTTAAATAAACGAGAAGGAAAGTTTTCGTTATGATATGT